GGTATTTGCCCTTGAGACATCTAACGAGGTAAACCTCCTACATGTAACCTCTAGTTTTGACTTACTTATATCTCATTCAAACGAGTATATTGATATAGTAAAAAGTCTAAAGACATTTCTACCCATAATTTGTCCTTCAAACATTATGACTGTTTTTCTGAACGTTCCGTACATTCCTAAATATCTATCGCAAAAATAAAATTATAAGATCTCTACAGGAAATTTAGCCGACAGATACGTCTGATAACCCTTACAATAGCGTGTTGCTGCGGATGTGGATGTCGATGAGTATTGGTTTGAAGTGTCCATCTTGTTCTCTTCCACACCAACACCCTAATCCTCCTTTTACAAAAGACAATCCGAAATTACAAACAAATAGCTGTCAATAAGTCGAAGAATAAGGTAGGGGATATCTACCTTTGATAAGTAAGCATTTTACTATTCTTACTCAAATATTAATTCTTTATTAAAAACTCTTTGGTGCAAACCTTACTCTAATTGGATTTTACATAAAAATTGGCTCGATATTACAACAATGTTTGTGATGAATTGCAACATCAATTTGATATCGTATTTGTCTTTTTGGATGAAGATCAGAAATCTTTCAATAAATATCTTCAAATTGTGCCTTGGAAAGCTATATCTTACTTAGGTAGGTCATCATTTTCATCTATCCAATCATATTGGTTACGGTTTTATGCTGAAGACTTTCAAAATCTCTATATGCCAGCCAAGAGCGTTGTGATAGTGCTGTCGTAGACCTAATGTTTATCACATTTTCACAGAGAATACAATCATATATTTCCAAGAATCGATTGATGAGGTACTTGCGCATAAAGTATGAGTTTGAATGACTGTCTTTCATTTGTCTACACTCACTCCTACTTACACAAATAAAAAATAGAGAAATTTTATTAGTGTGTGAGTTCTAGGACTAGACTGTATTACTTATCTGTTTGGTAAAAGACTCGAAAGTTTTGTCCTTGATAGCTAAATTAATGAACAGTTAAATACGGACAGATTGGAAAACGAAATAAAAAAGTCAGATTTTTCGAAAAATTATACAGTTGTGCAAAAACAATGAACAACAAATTAGAGGTGAAAATTATCAGAAAAATCTTATTCGTTCTAAGGGAGCTATACTTTAGAAACTGAATAATTTTATTTTTTGTAATTTTTCGAATCCAAACAGTAGAGCAACTATGCACTTCATCCATGTATTGATTCATAATCGATATATTGCCTTTGACTGTTGCTGAAATCATTTGTATAGTTTTTTGAATAAAGATCGAGCATACAGCCATGGTCGTTCATGTTGTGTATTTTTATGTACAGGAAGCTTTTTATTTTTATTTTTCATTCTGTTGTAACGCATGACTTCCTTCATATATGTAAACATCGAAAGTGAAGAAGTGACGATAACCGTAAAAAAACGATACTCAACACACCGCTTTTCTTTAATTGTCTACTACCAGTTGCGCACAAAATATAAAGCAAATATCAATAGTTAACGCTTTTATTGATGCTGAAATGAGTACGACAACGCTCAGTTCGTTTAAAGTGAAGAATACAACATCGTTTGCTGCTTTTATCACACGAACTTATGACATCAAGAAGAAACAACGTATCGTTTAAAATTATATTCTCATAAAGAGCGTTTTATAAGTATCGATCTCTCTTTCATATTTTTTATCGTTGTCTTATTGGAAAGTGGAAAAGCATTGGATATATATATTTGAAGTGCGAGATCTAAGCTGTCATTCAATGATGATTGCACTTAATTTGCGTCAACCGTAACAAAATACCGTGTTACTTATCATTGAGAAAAATTGCTAATGACCTATTCAAAGATTCATTCTCTTCTAAATAACTAGTTTCTTTAATTCATTTAAGATTCTTAACTTTTCGGACGATAACATTGTTTTTCATCAGAAGACCATGTACAAAACAGAAAATTTTTCTTTTATATATCAATATACTTCGATGATTCATTCGTTCTTATTTTTCTGTAATAGTAGTACAGACGATGAAAAATTCATATTTATCGTACCAAACTTTTGTCGTCTTGCCCATACCACAACTACAGAAAAAGAAATACAAAATGAAGCAACGAAGCATATAAATATGTAAAACATTGCCTTCTGATGAAGAACGATGTTATCATCCCATACGTTAAGAATATTAAGTAAATTTTAAAAAACTAATTACTAGGAAGAGAAAAATCTTTAAATATGTCAAAACACCGCGTTTTTAAAAGAAGATAAAAAGAAGGACTTTATCAAAAATATTCTTTATTTCTTCTGCAGAAAGTGCTACCATCTCGATATTTTGTGAATATCTCTGGTGTTACTTCATGTTTTGACCTGAGTTTTTTTGTCACAGATAATTTGTGAAAATCGCTACAAGTTACGGTAAATCAACTTTTTAAAAAGGATGGCTTACAATGACATGAAGTCTCTTTAGTTCGAAGAAGTGATATAGCCTGTTGCATTAAACAAAGATGTCTATAAAATAAAACTTGACTGGCATGCTCTTATATTGATCACATATGGTTTCCGAGTTATCTTTTCAAAGAATTGTTTTTATGGAATATTTTAGAGAATTTCATAGACTATCTTTTGAAAAGAACTTCAAGTCAAAGCATTAAGAAATAATAGAGGGATTCACAAAATATCAAGAGAACAATGCTTTATATACAAGAAATAAAAAATGCCTTTAATGAAATTTATTCATTTTTTCATCAATATGGTATTTTCTTACACTTGGTACAAATTGAGTGAAATCACTGTTGAAAAGTAGCTTAGGTCACTCTCTTTAAATAAATATGGCCAATACCTTTCCACGTTCGAATAAGACAAAGATAAAAGAAAAATAAAAGGGGCTGCATACTTATGAAACATCTGTCATGATTGGATATAATTACCGATGAATAGAACGACAACTTTCGTCATTCAATTGTACAACTAAGATGTACTATCAATAAACTTAGCATGCTTACTGATGCTGATTAATGTTTTGATTATCTCACTGAAAGCGAGAACTAAAAGGCACCGATTGAATGTTATATTTATACCCAAATCCATCTTGATCTTTCGTGGAAACGAGACGCATTATCAGCAAGCCTAAAAGAACTGATCGGAAGAAAAGAAACGTTTTTGAAGGGGATTGATTCTGTCTGTGATTTATTGACATATTTTACACGACAATATGATATATGTACGCGCAACTGCTAAGCAGATATTATACATTAGTCACGATTATAATGCCACAACAGCTGCTCAAACAAACTTCCAGAAATCCAAATTCAGTTATATCTTTTACCAAAAATCGCAACTCTCTAGCTCGAGTCGTTACTGGTATATGCAGTTTTTAATGTTAGGAGTCATTTTCTACAATGGTTCATTTCAATTCAATAGTTTGTAATAGTGAGCATGCGACTTACGATTGGCTTGAGTTTAAACCATAAAACTTTCAGCACAGTTACCTCTTCTGTTTAGCTGCAAAATAAAACAAGTTCGAGTTTTACAAGTAGAGTGTAAATGTGAGTGTGGACAATTGAAGGATTGGTGTCCATATGGTGACATCTATAACTTGACAAAACACTACTTACAGAGCCTGGACTTGTTTTGTTTGTGTAGTCTAACAGAAGATGTAGCTGTGCTGGAATTTTCATGGACTTAAGTCAAGCCAATCGAAAATGTCATACTCATTACTAATGTCCATTTCAAACTATAATGCTCGCCACCATTTTTTGAATAACTTGAGAACACAAACAGTTAGAGACCTGCGGTTTTCACCAATCGATAGATAATACTGGAGGACGCCTTTTTCTCAGATAAGGTGCCAGGCGAAATCGTTTTAAAACTAGTCATCTTCGCAAAACAAGGAAAAGAATGCATGAAAATTACCTGCCATCCAGATGAAATTTTGATTTTCACCTTTGATTCAGATAGAGAAACTTGAGATCTATGGTTCCACATACAATACAGTGCCTTACTTTTTCTAACGTTTTCATCGAAATGTCCAGCTATTATGACAAAAATGCAAAGACAGTAAAAAATCAGTAAAATTCGGTATTATTTGTACATGTAAATACATGGTTTTATTTGGTTAATGTTAGAATGCAATAATAGAAGTATTTACATTATATCTTGAACGATAGATCTTAAGTTCCTCTATCGAATTCAAAGATCAAAATCAACATTTCATCTGGATGACAGGTCATTTTCATGCATTGTTTTCCTTGTTTTTCGAAGATGACTAGTTTTAAAAGGATTTCGCCTTACACCTTATCTGAGAAAAAGACGTCCTCCTGTCTTATCTATCGATTGGTGAAAACCGCAGGTCTTCAACTTTTTTGCGTTCTCGAATTATTCAAAACAAATGGTGACGGGCATTATATTTTAAAATGTACATTACAGATCACTGATTCAGAATGAAAAAGTGTACACAATGGCTCTAAGTTTTAAAAGCTGAATTTTTCAGTAACTGTTCACGCTAGAGAGCTGCGATTTGTGTCTGAAATCTTAGTAGATGTGGCCCTTTTTAGATATATAATTGAATTTGTATATCTGGAAATTTGCTAAAGCACGTTGGGTCAAGGCTTACGTGCTGTATCTCTTAGAAAAGTATTGCTTGAAACTGACTCCGATAAGCAATCCGCTAAGAGTCTTACCGCCTATCGTCGTAATAACTGTGGTTGTAATGATTGTGAACTGGGCATTTTTAATAAGTTCGAAAAACAAAGAATACTGTTATAAATTGCTCAATTGATATTAAACACGCATCAACTTCTTGGGTCAGATGCTTAATCAAGTTTCACAGACTGCATAAGTCGAAATCATCACTAAGATGAATTTGAAAAGATTGCATGCACTCGCCCTCATACCCTTCTCTCTGATGATTCTCGACAAAAACTAACAAAGCGTAACATCACATGAAAACAAAATATGTGTTCTTTTTGTTTCATATGCACAGTTTTTAGGAATAGACGACTAACGATGGTTATAGAGCAGCAGCAAAATAATTCAGACAATAATCAAACTGCATCAGACGACAATAGTCTATCCGACGAAGGCGATAGACGAATTATTGAACTCGGTTACGAGCCTGTCTTCAAACGTGAATTTGGCCGGCTCTCTTCATTTTCCTTCGCCTTCTCCATTTCTGGTCTCTATGCTACAATTGCAACGACATTTATCTATGGTTTGCAAGCGGGTGGTGCGCCGGCACTCGTCTGGTGTTGGCTAATTGCTGGCTCAGGGTGTATGTGTATTGCATTGAGTGTTGCTGAACTCGTTTCTGCCTATCCAACGTCAGGTGGACTCTATTTCACGTTGAAATATCTTGTCCCAACTGAGCATGTTCCGTTGACGTCGTGGCTCTGCGGCTGGTTAAATCTTCTCGGGCAAGTCGCTGGAGTTGCTTCGACAGACTATGGATGTTCGCAACTTCTACTTGCTGCCATCAGTATGGGCACAGGATTTCGTTATCAACCAACTGCTGGACATACCGTTGGTGTCATGGCTGCAATTATTATTCTTCACGGCTTTATCAATAGTCTCACCACGAAATGGCTTGATCGAGTTACAAGATGGTATGCCATCTTTCATCTAGCTGTATTAGTATCGGCAAGTATCGTCTTGTTGGTGTTTCAAAAAGAAAAACACTCAACGAAGTACGTGTTCATTGAAGTTCAACCACATAGTGGCTGGAGTCCTGTTGGATTCTCGTTTCTATTTGGATTCCTTTCCGTTGCCTGGGCAATGACAGATTATGATGCAACAGCACATATTGCAGAAGAAATTCAGAATGCAGCTGTACGCGCTCCACAGGCAATTGCTTCTGCTCTCTTCCTCACTTACAGTCTCGGTTTCCTCTTTAACATTGTTCTCGCCTTCACTATGGGAGACATTGGCGATCTTCTCTCCTCACCAACAGCCCAACCATTTGCTCAGATCTTCTACAACGTTCTCGGTGCAACAGGTGGCATTCTTTTTACACTCTTTGCCTTCATCATTCTGAATTTCTGTGGCATTGCAGCGCTTCAAGCAAATGCACGAACAATCTTTGCTTTTTCACGTGATGAACTTCTACCGTTTTCAAAAGTTTGGATACGAATGAATAGTTACACTCAGACTCCTCTGATTGCTGTTTGGCTAAATGTCTTTCTTGCTGTAGGCATCAATCTGATTGGGCTCGGTTCCTATACGGCAATTGCAGCAATCTTTAATGTCTGTGCAATTGCACTTGATTGGAGTTACTGTATACCGATAATTTGTAAGTTGATCTATGGTGCTAAAACAGGAGGATATATTCCTGGACCATGGAATTTAGGAAAGTTTTCGGTGCCGATCAATTCCTGGTCAGTGATCTGGACGTTGTTTGTCTCAATTATCTTTTTAATGCCAACAAATCGACCGGTAACAGCAGAAAATATGAATTATGCAGTTGTCATTCTCGTAGGAATTCTTACATTTGCAATGATCTATTGGTTTGTTGGTGGTGCACGAAAATACTATACTGGACCGCGTACCAAACACCAGATGCAGAAAGAAAACGATAATATTATTGAGTTCGTTTCTTCTCCGTATGAAAAAGATCAAGTAGTTAAATTTTGAAACGGTTCTGTATATTTAAAAGCCATGGATTTTTATCTTGATTCCGTCTTCTTTGGATCTCTCATAGATATCCAAAAACTAATTGTAATAAATTACCAGAAAAATAAAAAACTACTGCATATAGCGGCAATAAATCACAGACAGAATCCCATATGACATTGCTCCGACATTACATCGCACAAGAGATATGTCGCACCACATACACACAACTAATACACATCTCAAAAAAGAAAAGGTTGGGTATTTTTTTGAATAACCTTGGACAGAAACAAGAGAGAGAGCTTCATTTTTCATCATTCGAAAGACGAAATAAAACTGCATTGCATTGTAGATATCACATTTTTTCAAAGGGTTTATTCGAGGTTTTCAGTCGAGTTTTTCCAAAAAAATGATGTTTTTTTCATAGGCTGAAAAGACAAACTGTTTGTCAAAACGTAAGAAAGGAAGTAGATTTTTCGTGAAAATTCGGTGAAAAAGAAACTTTCGCAGCTTTCTAACTTATTTCTATCGAAAGTTATTCAAAATATACTAAACATTTCCCTTTTTTAGAATGCGTATTAGTTAGTCACCCGCAACGCAAACGTACCCAGGTCAAAAGATCCAGTAACCCGGAATCCGACCAGGATTTTATCGGATGCTGTCGGGATCCGACGAAAACCGATAGAATACAGTCAAAACTTGGTCGTATCCAGTCGGAATTTATGTCGGAATCCGGGTCACTGGATTCCCGGTCACTTCCGATAGAATCCAATGGCTCAGCTTCGTCCTGGGTACCAAAGAGAAACACGGGGGGGGGGGGGGGGGGGGGGGGGTCCGGGCAAGGAGGGTTTCAGAGAGTAGGGAGCGTACAGAGTTTCTGACATAAAAAAGTACCAAAACTAGGGGTGCTACGTAGCTAAATTTCTAAAGCAGGGGATGGGGGAACGTTTCATAGAGAAATTTCAAAGGTAGGGGGTGAGTTACGCCCCACGCGCCCTCATCTACTCACTCCCCGGATTTTAAATTTATTCTTGTAGAACCAAGAAAAGCTGCATATCTTGGACCTCTTTAAAAATTTGTGTTCTTAAAAGTGTTTAAAACTTTTGTTAAAAGTCATGAGATCTACTGGTTATTTTGCTTTTAACCCTGATTGTTGACGATCATCGATTTGTAGAAAAACTCGGAAATAAATTTTCAGAAGGCCTAGATTCCACAGTCGTGTTTTTTAATCAATTTAATGCAAGTTATTAAAGTGAGCAAAAGCATGATAATATTTTGAAAATAAGCAATTTCATTTAGTGTTTTAAAAAAAATTAAAAATTAAATATCTTAAATTACATTTTAAGTATTATTTTTAAAAATTGTATTTTAGAGTACGTACTTTGTTCTATTTATGAGTGAAAAAAATTAAGCTTCGAGAAGTTTCTGTTTAAACACAACAGACCTTAGCATTTGTCTGGATAATTATGCCTTGTAAGTTACTTCAAATTCTTAAGAAAAAACGGTAGAAATACTATCATCAAAGCTTCTGTGTTAAAATTTACATGTTGTGAAATTGTATTGCACAACTTATAAATAATTTAATTGTTTGACTATATACAAAAATTTGATTTTTCAAATGTTAAATACTTATCAATTTACTACAACTATCCACAATGTCTAACATTAGTAAGTTTTTTATCGTCACATTATCCATAGAGACTGCTATTCTAGAAATATTTGTTGATGACAGCATAACATTCATTTATGAGTAATTATATAACATTATATTTAACTAATCTTTTAACACGAAAATTTCGTCTATCGAGGTCGTAAAAAGGCACAAATAGATTTCAGAAAGAAAAAGAGTTGTTCAAGAAAAAAAACATTAATTAAAATTATTTTCAACGATAGCAAGGGAAAATATAGTTTATTAAACTATTTAAAATTATACCGGACAAACAAAAGAATGTATGAACTTCGTATATGTTTATTTATTGCAATTACAAAACCAAACTGGAAACATACAATGTTAAAAAATCAAATCCTTTGTTTGAGTAAATCTGATTGATATGTAACAGGTTATTTTGTTACATAAATCTTTTTCTCGATCGATTACATCAAGTCAGACAGAAGTCTCTTTATTTCAATCTACGTTTTTCTTTATGGAAATAATAGGCTCATACACCAAGACAAGTGCAAAAAGAGACCATGTATAAGGGATATCCAGATAAAAATCGCGTTGTTTTTGTGCCATGTCTCATCTATTCAGATTTGTCCAGTTTCATCGACTCCGTTCTCCTCCTTCTCTCGAATATCCAGCATTAAAACAAAACATCTTTCTAGACAAAGTCGCTTTTTTTTTCAAATGTACTGTATTCGTTTTTATTAAATAATAGTTCATTAAGTAAATATATCAAAAATAGAAATGAATAAATACACATTTCATAAACAACAAACAAAAATTTATCCTATTGTGAAATCGTTGTTTTTTAAATACATTCTATTTTAATTGAGCAGAAAATCGTTAAAAACAAACAATGAAGTTCAATACAAATGGCACTTAAAAATCCAAAAAACGTTCATATTTCTACTCGAGAAAGTAACAAGTTTTGCCTATGTAGCATCTCAGGTTGAAGAAAATCGTCGCAAATGATATAAAGCGGCGTGTTTACATAGCCGTGTGCTATGAGCTCGTAAAATGGTAAAAATAGTGAGAGAAACGATAATTGCTTTCGAACAAAAAGACGATCCGTAAAACATAATACGGTGAAAATTTATGCAGTAATAAACCATCTTCGGTCGTTTAAAATACCGTTTTCCAGCATCAAAATGATCGTCCTGCGGTAATCTTGAATTATTTCAACGCTTTATTCATATTCAACTGATTCATTCAGTTCATTATCTTTCTAAAAATGGTCTTTAAAATAAACTAAACTTGAAAATTTAATCAAAGTTTTGTGAAAAAAAAGACGAATATTTATAGTAACAGTCTAAATGTCCCTTATGAATGACCCTCGATTGTAAACGTGTACATATATGTAAAAAAAAACTGATCAATAACCTAAGTATGTCAATCGGTGCTACTAACATCTTTCAGCAGGTCACTTAAAAAAGAATAATAATCAAGACACATTTCAAATGAAACAAAGAATAATACTAACAATATTCTTCAGTATGCTGGACGAGTACTTAATTAAAAAGAGTATAATATCTAATCAATGTTTCTTTCATTTTACTAAAAAAATTTTTTTATATATGATTGAAAATGATGCTATTCAAAACAAGTCTAGTAACTAATGCTCCATGTGTTGCCGTATACTTGTTAACTAAACGGATGCTGGTATCCGGACTCGACAGGATCCACTTTTCTTTTCAATTTTGATTTGCATTAAATGTCAACATGTACATGGCTCTTTTATCTGTTTTGGACATCGTCGACTAACTTTTGTTGCTCAGTCCCATATAAACATGATCTTGTTTACATTTGATTAAGTATTCAATAAGAAAAATTTGAAAAAACTAATTGAGTCGAAGTATGACAACAGATTTGCTAAATCCATAGTCGAAAATAGACTTTTTTTTTTCCTTGAGATAATTTCAAGTATTATTAAAATAGAAGAGAAAAATGCTTGTCTGTGTTGTATCCATGAATCTCATTCATTGGTTTTTCAGTTTTTTTGAATATTATAATTATCACAATAGGTAATTGAAATCTGATTTTTTCCGGCCAAAGGAAAAAAAAAACACGAGTGTGTATTCAGTTTTGCAAATGGATGTTGAATATAGTATGAAGGTATGAGAAGATCAATTTTTGCATCGAATTATTTTTTTAGGTTTTTATTCATTTTTTATACAGTTAACTCAATTATTTTCATGTAATGAATCGGTAAATAATTGAAAACAATACTTTTTGTTTTGGATTGATCTTTTCTATTTTTTGTCAAAAGGTTTACAAAGATGGTGTTACTTATTTTTTCTGTAGTGCTTGTAAAATAGTAATAAAAGATGAATTTTATTTACGTGCTGGTTCAAAAATTTATCATGAATCATGTTTACAATGTGCTATCTGTCAAATATCACTTAATGAACGATCAACATGTTTTCTACGAGGTGTACATATTTTATGTCCAAAGGATTATTATAAGTAAAAAATTGAATATACTTATTTGTTTTATATGAAAATAATTCTTTTTTTTGTTTTTTTTTATAACGAAAGATATTTTGTTAATAAATGTCCAAAATGTGATCGTTTTATTTATCCAAATGATTGGGTTCGACGCGCATGTGAATATGTTTATCATTTAACTTGTTTTGCATGTTATACATGTGGACGACAATTATCAACAGATGAAGAATATGCTTTAAAAAATGATCATATTTTATGTAAAAATCATGTTATTGAAACAAATCAAAACAAATATGATGGTAAAGTTTGTTTTTTTTAAATAATTTATTTCAAATATTTTATAATATAGCAGCTAATAAACAAAATGAAATCAAACGAATTCGAACAGCATTTACGATAGAACAATTACATATTTTACAAAATAATTTTACAACTGATCCGAATCCAGATGGACAAGATTTGGAATGGATTTCACAGATTGCAGGTATCAAGAAATGATAGAAAAACTAACAACAGGGGAAAATGTGCTGGTTTGGAACGGTCAGGATCTTTTGGTATTGACACTTAGTAATGGTATTCATAGAGATGGAAAATAAATCAGAAACTATTGCGATAAATATAAGTGAACGTCATAGTATTTCTATTCAATTTTTTCGAGAATAATGACTTCTTATAAAACTTGACCAAAGGTATGCAGAGTCGAGAAATCTGAATCTATAGACGGCTTGTCAGAATTTTCGAATTCATTTTTTCGGTGAAGAAAACCTATTTGCTGCGCGATTTAGTCAAGTTTCATAACATGTATCTATTTTCTTGGAAATAGTGAAGTGGATTTAAATATTATTTTCGACAGAATGATATTCACTAATGTTTTGAGTTAGGCCGATTTGTTATCATGATAATTCTTAATCAACATTGATTATAATTTCGTTTATAAATTTAATAAATGAGTATGAAATGGAATAATAAAACAAACAGTATCTTAGAAAGAATGAGTCTATCAACGATTAAATTCTTTCTCTTATCTTTTCAGTATTATTTGGTGCACGGTACCTGTATCTATCCGCTTGAAAAATAGACTAAATATATTTCTAGTTTGAAATTTTTATTAGAGTTCTAAGAGGAGAAACATTTTCCATGTCATTCTCGATTCATTGCAAAAATAAACAAAAACATAGAATAGAAAACATTATAAAAATGAAGTGTGTTCTCATATTTTCTTTTACTGTGGTATGTACTCTTAAGAACAAAGATAAATTTTTGTATTACCCAACGTGTAAATTCATAAATTTCTATCGTAGCATAGTAACATTTTCTTAATCGGAAGAGATAGAACAAGAAATAAGACGTTTCTGAAAGACTTGTAGAATGGAAAATACGGAAGCACTAGTAAACAGATGTCTAATCTAATTATCTCTCGATTAATAATCTTAAAAGAAAGATTCATCTTGACTTTATAAAATCTCATCAAGAATTCCTACTCAATTCTTTCGTAAACTAAATCAACAACGAATTTGCACATTAGTAATATAAAATATATCGTACATGTCACATATTTACTTTGGCAAAAATCGAAGAATTACTACTTTTCTAGTTTTATTCGAATTAGTATAATATCTATCCATAGAGCTGAACATGATAAGATCTTAAAAGATCTAGTCGGCTATAGTAGAATCTTTAAATGTATGCTCAATCTACAAGAAAAGACCCGCGAAAATGTTGTATATTAAGTTTAATATATGTAATAAAGTCGTTTCTATGTAGCTATATGTGCAAAACAAAATTGTAAAGGAATGCTTAGTAGTGAGACTCCGACACATATATACTGTTACAGATTTGTATTTAGTGCATATTAGTATGCTGTAGATTGATTTTAGTAATCTAGAGGATTCATCTGTCTAATCTGTGTTATTCAAATTTCACATGTATTTTAGGATTAAGTAAACGAGTGACTCAAATATGGTTTCAAAATACTCGAGCACGACAAAAGAAGGTACAAAATCAGAAACTTCAGCAAAAAGCAAATTATAAACGAGATAAACACAAGAAAAACTACAATTCAAATTCCAATAGAAGTGATGATGGTGTGTTGTTTTACTTTTTATAGAAACTTTTTATTACGTCCACGTAGAAATATTTTTATTTAGTCTATAGCATTGCCAAAACGAACAACATACGATCAATTTCAAAATGTTCGAGCTTATTTAAATATAGAACAACGTCTATATAATATGAACGATTAAAAATACTTTTTAACGCTTACAATAGTTTCTATCAAAACTATTATCTACGTCATTATTGATTTACGACGGTAAAAATAACATTCATGAACAATCTATTGAACGTATCTAACAAAATTCCCTTTACCGTTATTTCATAGTTCCTATTATTTTTTTCGCATATTGCACGTTTGTTCACTCTACCGTTAGTATGTCGCGGTAGAATGGATGTCAGAAGATAGCCGCTTGTTTTCGTATCAAACTATTGTCAATTGATTGTCTGTGTACCAGTAGTTTGTATGAGTAATCATTAATCTGGAAGTTTTTACAAAATCATCATATTTGCATTCCTTGAATTGAGAGGTCTTCATGTTCTATACAATACTATACAAGAAAAATAAATAAATATTTGATTTTTCAACGTTTCACTTTGATTAGCCTTACTTTTTAGTGAATACTTGCTGCTGTTTCAATTGACTTTTAAATGAAAAATATCAGAAAAAACAATGAACAGAACATAGTACGAACCATTTATGCAAAAGAAAAGAAATATTTTGTTATGATGCCAGTTTTGATCTCGATTGTCAATTATTTATAGAATATATGTTTAGCAACAACAAATTTCATTCGATCTGCACGAAAATAAAACCATTCTCTCCTTAAGAGATTTAGTTTCGAGATATTGCTTCAATGGTGCATTATCTTCATCTTTCTGACTATAGACTCTACTTAGAATTGCAGTCAAAAGAATCGATCTGTTTTTTTTCATAGTGTTTATCATATGGCTTACATCAAATTTGAGTCTATTACGATCTTTGTCTAATCAATATTCGGTTGTATCGGAGTTTGGTTTCTATGTTTTTGTGTTCGCCGATTCCTTAAGAGTTAAACGATGGAAAACGACAACCCAAATATATCATTCTTCTAGTCAAGTGACAAATAATTTCTTTTTAATATAATTCTGTAAACCATCTAATCATTGATGTCGATTGTGTCATGAAAGGAAGAAACAAGTAGTAGGCATGATTTGGAAGGATGAACGAAATATCGATTGATTCAAAGTATCTTCAAAAGAGAATTCAAATGATAGAATCATGATTTTTGCATGCGGGAAAGCGAAAATTAGTCGAACGAAAAATAGTCGAGAGATTCCTAACAAAAAAACAAAAGCTTCGAATGCGACGAATCAGTCAAAGCATTACAAGAAGAAAACGGAAGACATCATTAGTAAACTGTCAATCACTACAACGGAGCTTTTTTTCCCTAATACATGTAGCATATGAGCTAGATATTAGATTCATGTATTTTCATGAAATTATATCAAATTTAATTCTGATAGAGCTGTGGAACTAAGAAAAAAGCATTTTGAGAGTGTGGCATGATTGTCAGTGCTGGTGTGAGTGCAGGTGTGAGCATCAGACCTGGTGTAAGTTCTAGTGTCTGATGGGGTTCAAGAGGATCTATCCCAACACCCGCATCCATTTTTTATTTTCATTTTTTCTTCTGCTTAAAACCAACTGTTCTGGAGAAAGGTTGGAGTCCACTTTACTTGTACAGGGTATTACGACAAATATTTTAACTCTGACCCATCAACCTATAAAATGCTCGAATTCTATCAGTCTCTCTCGATTGCTCCCTGAGTATAATGATTACATTTTTTCGCTTCAATTTATATTATACTCAAGAACAACGGTGTGCACTATCAATATGAACTGTTTTCGTCTGGGGTCCGTACGGACACCAGGTTGATGAACCAGGGTTGAGTTTTAATTAATTTCTCGACTGTTTTTCATTCGTTCAATTTTCGTAGAACCTTTGCATGCATATAATTAAAAAACATTGTTCTTTTCGACTATTCTTCGTTCATTCCGTCTTGCAACTCAATCAATATCAGAGTTCTGGTAAATTTGGCAAATAGATGTAATAAGACTTAGCTGGACTCTTTATTCAATGGGATTCATTTTTATAGTTGTTGTTGAGACTCGCCTAACTATTTCATCGGTCAATTCCGAATATTGCGGAACCAATGGTCAAAAGCTGCTACAATGATACATTGCTTAGATCGACAGAACAAACAAATATCGATATTGTGTGTGTAAACATTGACAATATCAATCAGTGTGATTGTTGAAATGTAAGTCATGTCATCTGGTACAATCTCTTCTTTATTTTCACTCTCTTTTCACTGGAGATTTGAAAGAGACGAAGCAGTTTTTTGTCTCTGAAGTGAAAGATGAAGTTTGTGGGTGGGAGTTAATGAACAAAAAGAAGCTATACATATATGAATCCACACTCCACCATCACTCACACGCTCAAGTACTTCAATATTGTTGTTTTATTAGATTCACAATCAAAGGTCCAAGATATCGCAAGCATAGAAATCAAATGCTTTTGCCTACAGTGGTGACGAGTTGATACTTTGACGACACACTGGACAATGGGGTGTGATTAGGAGCCATTGAAAGGCACATTGTTCATGAAAGAAATGACCACAAGGTAGTCTTTTCAATCGTTCGTTGAATGCATAATCTGTTTGACAAATGGAACTAAAATTAATAATGAAAACTTGATCTGTGAGGCTAACAGAAAAATCTCAATGTTCCTTTATACGAACCATCTCGTCTGTTGAAATTGATCGAATGCTCGACCGAAAACAACCATTGGTAAAGCATCAATACTCTTCTTGGTTATCCCAAAATGAATGCCAGTTGGAACAGAAGCAACATTAAACCGTTGCTGAAGATAGAACATTCTAATTAATATCATACTTTTCAACAAAACAATGATCGCATACCCGTATCATGATCATAAGTGGAGCAGTGATCCAAGAAGGCAAACAAAATACTAGAGATGTGACGAAAGTGCTAATAAAACACAGAAAAAGCAAGAGTACAAGAATAATAATTGGATAGAATAGTCTCAATCGCTGCCAGATCAAAAGAGTTTTGTATAGATGGGGCGCTGTTAATTGGCAAGATCCACCCGAACGAGGTTGAAAAAGAAGTACAGCTCCAATTGCTTGATAGTATATAGTGACAACTATATGGAGATAACATAATCCATAGCGAATTCCCAACAAACGACTGAAAATTGTTCGCCAGTGAGGCAGACGAAAAAAACATTGATGCACGATGACGAAGAAAGAATCAAGGCTAATAGCAAAAATAGATAGAATTAATCCAGTCTGAGCGAACGATTTGAGTGGCGTACGGAAATAAAGATCTTCAATACTAGTAAATATGCATTGTGAATCCTGAACCTGTGAGCTAACAGGCATCA